CAATATCATTTGATAGCCGGGCACCATCAGCTTTCTTCACCACATTTGCTTATTCACCCGCTTTGTCTTCAGCGGTTGTGTCAGGAAAGTGAGCATCATAGAATGCCAATTTAATAAAAGAAAGTATTCTTGCGTTGAGGGAGAACTTGAGTGGAGGCCCAATGTCTAAGACTAATTCTTTAACAAGACTAGAAAGCTCTATCTTTCTCCTACGTAGAGCGGCTAGTAGTTTCGAACTGCTGACCTTGCAGTTAGCAGCCCAATGCATAACCGTGAAACCACCAGGACTTCAAAACTCTATAATGAGGATAAATTTTATAGTTATTCAGACAAAAAAATGTAAAGAATCTAAGCATACCTGACAGTGATGGTATGTCGGTAACTTGGAAGCAGCTTTTCCATATTCAAAAACCTGGTGATCTCTTCCAGAATGAGCCGTACTTCAGGATTCAAGTTATCCAAAGTTCTAACTTCATTATTCACACTGACTGCGGGTGTAACCGAGTTGGCAAGGGCATCAATCATTTCTGCACGGTAATAGTTATCTGAAAACTAACCCAAAGAATAATTTCTAATGATAGTACCAAAATTTACCTGAGCATTACAAATGGATAAAACATGTACATAGCTGAAAAATTGACTGTATCTGAAACGATAGGAACAAGTTCTTAAGTATCACCTATATGTCTTATGGAAATCAGACTGAACAAATATTAACAACATGGAAGGCATTCTTACAGTAACCCAGCTGGATTCTTCTACAAGGAGAACTATACTCCACAAATAAAACTGATAATCAAAGAGCTTCAAATCAGCTATTTTAGCACTCTACTCTCATATGAGAGGGCATCCAAAAGTTACTGGGGGAAAAAAATGTTCACAGAAAACAAATTCAAAGGTGATGGAATTTTGCCACGACCTTTTTGAAGATCCCTTGCATATATACATATAACTAAGGTTCACCAGATAGTCTCAGAAAAAATCAACAAAAACAACTAGAGACCAGAATTATCATGTCACCCAAGCCTGTCCGCTCCTCGGTACAAACCCAAAGGACTTTTTGAAAGTGGGACTCAGCGAGATGCTTTATACCAATGTTCACTGAAGCATTACATTAGCCAATAGGTAGAAACCACCTAAGGGTTCATCAATAGATGCACAGATAAGCAAAATGCAGCTGCTGGGGTAAGAACATGCACAAAAAGCGCTTACTGGTGGTTGTCAGGGGTTGGGGGAAACGAAGAACGGAGCACTGGTGCTGGAGGGTGGCTGAGCTAGTGTTGGACTGATGGGACATAACAGTTGGTGGCAATGGCTGCACCAGGCAGTGAGTTTACTTAATGTCACTCAATTGCACACTTCAAATGGTTCACAGGGCAAGATGGGGCCTACGGATTTTAGCACAACAAAATTAACAAAAACAAGGCAACTCGGGAAAGTAAGAATATGCAGGAAAAGGCAACAGAAATAAAAATTAATATTGTCTGAGACAACACCAGGATGTCCTAACTTCTAATAGTGTAACATTTTTAACAAAAAAAGAAACCTGCAGAAAATGAGTCAAAAATTAAAATGGGAGTTAAGTGGAAAAAATATATAAAATTTTAAGTGAACAGAGGCAGAAATTAGGAGAGGAAGCATAGGAAAACTAGAAGGCTAGTACAGGAGGCAAGCACACCAACTACAGGAGTTCTATTATGAGAAGCAGAGAAAACGGAGGCAAAAACTATTTTAAAAAATTAATTCCATAGCAAGTCCCAGACCAAAAGTTCTGCAACTGACAGAGCCTACTACCGAGCATCTATTCCAGCCCAACTTGATGCTCAAGACACTGGGGGGAATTTCAGGACACTGAAGAGAAACATGTTACAGCACATGGCTTCTATCTTCCAGAGGGAAAGCATATGCTGTACACATAAAAGAACTAGAACAAAAAGGGCACTGGGCTTCTCTCAACAGCACTCTCAAAGGTAACAGAACAATGGCTTCCAACCTCTGATGAACCCAAGACAATCTTAAAACTTACGCCATAAAACCCCCCTCTGAAATCTTCTCAAAACCAAACAATAGTTTCGCTTCACTAATACAAAATATCTGCCTTGAGCACTGTGCTCTTTTAGAACTATCTACATGGGTGGCAGTGGCCCTTAAATGTTGGACTTCTAACTACAAGATCAGCTGTTTGAGCCCAAAGGGAAAAAGAGAAGACCATCTCCTGGTGATGTAGCGCTTACACATCGGTTAGCAATGAGATCCATATGGTCAGCAGTTCGAAACCAACAAGCAGCTCCCACAGGAGAAAGGCTGGGCTTTCTACTCAAGTAACACAGTCTCAGAAGTCAACTGGGGTCGCTGTTAGTCAGCACTGACTCAATTGCAATGAGGTTGGTGTTTTTATCTCGTGGAAAGACTTATAGCTGGGGAAACCTATAGGGGTGGCTATGAGTCTGAATCAACTACGTAAAAAAATCACAGCCATCGACTCATAGCGACCCTATAAGGCAGGGTAGAACAGTGGGTTGTTTGTTTGGCACAGCAGCAACTCCAAAGATGAGACAGGATTCTTAGGGGGCAGGGAGTTTATGCTAACAGGCAGGAACAACACAAGGAGGGCGGGCCAGGATGGTTGCACAACTCAAAGGATTTAGCGATATCTGTCACTAAATTAATTATACACACAGAAATGGTTGAACTGGTGTATATTTGTTGTGTGTGTTCTCAACTACAAAAAATCTGAGGGAAAGTTATTTTGTGTCTGAAATTCTAAACCCACCAGACCACCAGGCAGAAGAGTAAAAGATACTTTGCATCCTGTAAAGGATCAAAACGAAAAAAAAAAAAAGGATCAAAACGGTTACATTCCTTGCACTCTTTTTGACTCCTGCAAACTTCGGGTGGCAGTTTACTTAAAATACATCCACAATTTTTTGTTTTAATTCTTTTTTAAAAAGGTAAAAACCAGCTCCTCTCCTGTTGAGTGTATGCTGGGCTTTGTGACTTTTAACGGTGAGAAAAAAGCAGAAGTGACAATGTACAATTTCTGAAATCAGGTCATTGGGCTTCCTCCTGGGTCTCAGTTTGGTCAGGGGAAGCCAGAAGTGAGAACAACCAGCCCAGGTGACAAGGAACTGAGGACGCTGTCAACAGCCACGTGTGCAATCGTCTTAGATGTGGATCTACCAGTCCCAGTCATGCTTTCAGGTGATGGTGTTCCTGGCCCAACTTCTTGGTTGCAACCTTGAGAAATCCGGACCCAAAGTCATCTATCTAAGCTACTCAAAATACACGGCTGAGCAGAACCGTAAGCCAGCAGGCTTAGAATAGAATCAAACTGATAGGCAGCTGTTGTTCACTAAAGGTTTAAAGAATACATGAAGTTTCTGAAGGCAGCAAATATGCCTTCGATTTAACCTATATTCTCTCAGTATAGCATGTGTGCTCAAAATCACTTGGTGATTATGAACTGATGACAAGTGTAATGAAATAAGTTTTGACTCATAGCTTTCAACAACTATTTGTAAAAAAAAAATGAATAATGCACAAAATGGTAAAAGAAAAAGGTCAAGGTCATCAATGAACAAGTTATTCCCCTGTAAGAACGGTCTTCTGTTGTCTGTCCCCCAGGGAGGAGGTCACACACATTTCCATGTAATCCGAAAAGTGGGTGAAGGGAGACGTCGGACAGGGCAAGATATGACAAAATACCCATTTATAAACTATCAAGGGCTCATGTGGGAGGGGGGAGCGGGGAGGGAGGGGAAAAATGAGGACCTAATGTCGGGGGTTTAAGTGGAGAGAAAATGTTTTGAGAATGATGTACAAATGCACTTTACACAATTGATGTGTGTATGGATTGCGATAACAGTTGTATGAGCCCCTAATAAAATGTTAAAAAAAAAGAACGGTCTTCTGGATATCACTCGGTGACCGTGCGGTCAGACTTCACCAAACGGAGTTACGTGACAACCTCAAATTGGGTACACAGCAGTCTCCACATCGAAGGGGCAGGAAGAACATTTCAGAACCAACTGTCTTGTTTTTGATTTGCTGACTGCTCTAAAAAACCCTGCCATCTCCATCTCTAGCAAACTCAATTATTATGGGCTTACCATTAAGTAAACATTTCCTTCAGAGCAAAATACCAAGAGCCAGTTTCATCATATCATGAGGAAGAGAGAATCTTACCTTATTTTTCCTGTTGTCATTATACTTGATTAAGTCTAAAATAAATGTTAAGACTTCTTTGGGACAGAGATTATGAACATCTCTCAACAAAGCCATTGCAACTGGCATAGTCTACAAAAAGCAAACAAAAACAATGAAGTAATTTTAAGCATATAATCTAATGACTACAATTCATTGACTGTATATAGAAAAGGAGTCACTTTAGGGCTGACACAAAAAATTCAAACAAAGCCAAAATCTCCTAGCTCCCACCCCTGTTCACCATCTCAAACCATTCTAACACAAAAGAGTTGAATGGGAAATGAGAGAATAGCTGCATGGTTTGACATGCTCGTAGCCCACGTATCCTGCAGCAAAACATGTAAGACAAATGATGTTACTCCAGTCCCGTGTGTTACAGTGGAAAAGGTATGGGTTCAGCAGTAGGTAAACCAGTATTCAACTGCTAACTCTTGCTGAATGTCTTTAACTAGCTGTTTACTGAGTAGGAGGCTCAGTTGCCTCACAACCATTTTAAGATCAAATGACAAAATGACTACAACCATGTGACATCAGCAGACCTCAACCATCAGTCTTTAGAAAACACCAATTCGAGCCCTAGACACATGGAATCTAGGAAAGATAAACCACTCAGAAGCAGTAATGGGAATAGCAATATCATGAGGATAAGGGAAAGGTGGGAGGACAAGGGGGAACTGATTGCAATGATCGACATAATCCCCCTGAGGGGGAAATGTGGGTAAAGGGAGACAGTGGACTATGTAAGATATGAAAGTAGCAATAATTTATTAATTTAACAAGGGTTCACGAAGGTGGGGGATGGGGATAGGAGGGAATAAAGAGGAGCTGATACCAAGGGCTCAAGTAGGAAGAAAATGCTTTGAAAATGAAGATGGCAAAAAAAATGATGGCAATATACACACAAATGTGATCAATACAAGAGATATATGGATTGTTATAAGAGCTGTAAGAGCCCCCAAAAAATAATAAAAAAGAAAACACCACAATTCTCCAGTATTACTTTCATTCTTAGACTGAGGTTTTTGAAAACCAGTAAGTTACCTGAAATTCAACTTAATCTTCACCTTTCCAAATTTCCATTATCAACTTCTCTACGGCGGTAGAAACATGATCATACCATAGTAGTAACTTCTACTAGCAAAATGGAGTGAATGACAATGAATGGGTATCACAGTCCTCAGTGGACAGGGAAGCGTGAACTGTTCTCTCTTCTTACTAAAATAACGATCCCCTCTAACCTGGGGGCTAAGAAGCCGATGGCTCTTTGCTTGCTTGAAGGAACAGAAGCTGTAGAAGCTATAGCAGCCGATGAGAATACTCTGAAACAACTAAGGAACTTTTCGAAGAAATATCTGTTCTATGGTCACTCTGCCCTTTTTGGAAGCAAATCTGATTTAAGCACTAATCTTCTCTCCCCTTCCTCTCATCTAGAGATATTGAATGAAAGATCAATAGGTAAGAAAATACTGTTCTTTAAGCTTTGACTGCAACCCACAGTAAGAAATATACTTTGTATACCAGAGCATAGTTCTGTCTGTCTCTCTCTCTCTCTCTCTCTCACACACACACACACACACACACACACTCTTTACGTGCAATAGAATACAAAAAAACAAAAAAAGGTAACAAAAATACATATATATTAACCCTTACCACATATAATACATTTTGATACTACTTATTCTTTTACTAAAAAAAGGTTAGTTAAAACTTCAAATTGATTTCATGACCTTCTCACTATGGGTCACAAGTGCCAGTTAGAAACACTGTTACATATGGAAGAACAACACAACGATGAAAACTAGAAACAGACATTCATTTGCATCCTCTCCATGAATTAGTGTAATGCCAATAAGGAAGCTAAAAAGAATATGTAAGTACTATCAAATGTCCATTTCTTCAATATAAAAATTACACACTGCAGGCTTCTAAGACTAAACCAACATTGTCTTTCAGCAAACCTGGATTATTCTGAATCTCTTTTGCTCAAGAAATTACTGGAAATATATTATCATTTTCACCCAGTGCTGCTAAGCAATCCTTTGATCTTTTGCTCTATGAACTGTAAGTCGCAACTTGCCTACATCTCCACCAACATCCACTTGTCTCAGGAAGAGAAATGTTTTGATCTTTTCTAAAATTCACCCCCAACCGTGCCCCATGTTCTTCTAACATCTTCAGAACTTGCCCTTCTTCTCTCCTTTGCATCTATTTTCTCACTTGACTATTTTCTCTTTGCCTTTCCACTGGCTTCCTTCTGTGCCCAGCAAGCTTCCAGTTTTTTCTCCAGGCACACGAAGCCAAACTAACCCGAATGTCCTTTTGCTCAACCTTGCTCATTCTCTTCAATCCCCAAATCACAAAAGAATAAGCTTAATTATCTAGACTTCATTATTCTCTCCCAGTGCCATTTAGTTATCTTATGTCTGCCTTTACTTTAGTAAATTACTAAGATTTTCAAATTACTACCAAGTGATGAATACCCAACCATTGCCACATCCCTTCCAAACACACTGGCCCCAACCCATCACACCACCACCACCAATTTCCTAAAAGGCCATTTACAGGAAACAGATGATGTGACAGATACATTATACTCTTGATCTTATTTTATGCTAATAAAAGATAAATCTTAGAAGTCAGTACTCTGGGGCTTAAAAGATTAAGAAATGTGTTCACGTGCAAACAGTCAATGAACCAGGAATGAAGTATGTACCCAGAAATCTATGCTTACTTCCTCTGATCATATAAACAGACCACGCCTGAAACCGGTTGCCATTAGAGAACTTACTCACGCCTCCATCTTCCATGTAATCAACCACAAGGCCCAGTTTTCCATGTCTAATCTTACTATAAATGTAGATTATGATTCTTTGTTGTATACCCCCCATAAAAGGGATGAGTAATTGCTTCAGTTTTGGAAAGAATTTCAGAAGCAAAAGAATTAATTTTATAAGAAGGCAGATTTCAAACCAGTTAAAATTGGTTTAGTCAAGGTCAATGCTGCAAAACTGAATTTGTAAAATGTGAGTGTATGGGGACACCCGAAATGGAAAGAGAAAAATAACAAGTCAAGTCAAAGCCCTGGGTTGGGAGACTCATAAGGGGCAAAGTGGGCCTTTTCCGAAACCAAATGTGGGAAACTGCACTACTGCCAGAACTGCGGAGAGGGACACAAAAAACAGCACTGTCAGCCTCCAAGTCGGGCACTGCTGTTTCCACTGTGTCCAGCAAGCGGTTTGATTGCTATGCCATGCCCGTGCTGCCCTGCAATTTGTCCCACTCCAGTTTCACTTTGTTGGGCCAAGAGAGAAACGAGAGCCAGTTCCAGCTCTATAAGAAATCAAGCACACCTCGTGTTAAATGTAAAGACACAGATAATGGAATCAGACATATTCATGAGAAGATTACAAGTGAACTATACCTTCTGTAGAAAGTAACTTTGAAAGCTCATGAAATTGTTCGTCTTCACAATGTTTGGACAAGTTTTACAACAGAACATCCTAGTGAAGAGCGACTTCATCGCGGGTGGTCCTGTCCATGTGCTCACCATTGAATTTGCGATCTGAAGAACGACAAAAGGGAACCACCTGCGTCACCACAGCAAGCACTTCGAAACCGAAGAGAGCTTTTCACACCCTCTCAGTACACGGTCTAGTCTCAGAGAGCCAATACTCCAGCCTTTCACCACCATTTCAAAAAAAGTAAAACAAACCACTCACCTTCCCACCAAATCCTTAAAATGTGTATTTTTCTACAAGTTCATTTCTAATGGTAGCAGTTACTTTTGTTACCTACTGCAAAACATTTGGAAAAGTCTAAATAAGAAGTGGTTTATGTTTTTATTCATTGGACAGATATAACTGTAATCCATTTACTCAGCAGAAATATCATTATGGATTTTAAATAAGGTTTTTCAATCTACCCTCAATGAAAAACAAGCCTTAGTGCAACCACTCAAGTCTGTAAGAACCATTTCCAAAAATCTCGCTATTGAAATTTTTAGTGCATCTAAAATACATGTCTGAAAATAAAATTAGGATTTAAAAAAAATAATATACTCTATACTTTTATGGCTCTGCTAAGAACTCAGCATGCAAGAATCACAAAGCCTTTAATAGAAGCCACGAATGCTTATCCTCAGCAGATGACTACCAAAGAAAATGATTTTCCCTCATATATCCAAAAGCAGCCAGCTACTTCCAAGTCAGTAAGGAGAGAACAAATGTAAGTCATTATAATCTGTTGAAATATTAGACAAATGGGTTTAGCAGTGATGAAGGCTACACAGTCACTAAATGGGAATGAATCTATTATCAAGATGCTTTTTAAATACCTGGAAACCTGCATTTCTGGCCAAATTTTTATCGGCTTTTTTTCTGGCTTTCATTTGATCTACCATCAGTTTTTTCCTTTTGGGTTTTTTTTTTTTTCACATCTAAAGAAAAATATTTGATTTTTCTTAATAAATTAATTTTTCCAGCATGTTAAATGGTAGTTCCTATGTTTTTGTGGGGTTTTAAAAAAATGTATTTATTGGGGGCTCGTACAACTATTATCACAATCCATACATATATTCAGAGTGTCAAACACATCTGTACATATGTTGTCATCATCTTTTTCTGTTGTTACTGCAGCATGTTTATTTTTCAGTTTACATTTTTTAAGTGACATTTTGTTTGTTTTTTATTGTAATGATTTTATGGTTCTGAAGAAGGAAATCAGTTTTCCCTTCTCCAATTCCTATGCTTTTATTCATTTTTTTTAATGCCTATGGTTTTAAATTACATGACTAATATCAATTCCTAAACTCAAATCAATGTAAAAAAAATTACAATAGGCTAAGATTAACTCATTTCATGTACTATAATGTAAACTATCATTCAAACCAAGGGACTTCTTACCAAATATATTCTTCGCTTTAAAATGTGTTGCTGCAGGTCGGACTTCTCTCTCTGACCCTGAGCTCCTTGATGCTCACTCCCTGGTCACTCCCCTCTCCCTTGTTTCCTTCCCCTCCTTCCCTTCCCCCTCTCTCCACGTGGACCAAGCTGGGCTGAGAGAAAACTAATCCTAAGAAGTCCCAAGAAGATGGAAACCGCGTTTGGGATCCGGTTCCATTCACCTGGAGAAAGGGCTATGCATTTGTATTTTACAGAATAAAGCTGATGGACTCCCTTTAGAAGGACGCAACCACGTTTGGAGAAAAATGGACAAATAAGAGATGGAGGAGCCACCCAATCTTAACCATAATTCCTTTTGCAGGTTAATGACACCCCAAAGAGAGGGGCTATTTGTTTATATTTTCACAGGCAAAGGAGATAGGTGAATTTCTCTTCAGCCAGCAAGGCCCAGAAGAAAGGAGGAACGCCCATGCTGTGACGTGACCCTTTCCTGTTATTGAAGTTACCCAAAACGTCAAGAAGCCCTCGCAGATTCCTGAGTGGCGATGCTGACTGCAAAGATATTTCTTCCATTGCTGATGCCGTCTAAAAGAAACTCTAGAACTCTATCATAACTGAACATTTTATACAATAGTGACTGGACTATTACTACAGATTGTTGCTTTGCTGAAAGATCAAGATTTTGGACATTTTATAAAGTAATGACTGGACTATTACTACAGACTGCTGCTTTGCTGAAAGATCAAGATTTTACACTTGTTAGTTAATGCTATAATGTGATTGAAATGTAACTGATTTCTGTGTAACTCCTTACCTGTATATTGTAACATTGCATAATTGGGATCTGATCAAAAAACATTTGCAAGGGTTTAAGGGAAACATTTCATTAGGTGTTATTCAGCTTAAAAAGGATATTTTCTATACATTCAAAGACAGGCTTGAGGCATCTCCTGGCTCTGATATAATTAAGCAATTGGTGGATGGCATGGAAGGATTGGATCCTCGTGCTTGGGCTCAAAGTATTTCTCATAGCCTGGGTTCCAGCCTATCAGTGCTGCTCATAATCACAATTTTTGTCCTGGCTATCACGTGTTGCTTCTATAGAAAGCTAAGGCGTGTGAAAGAGAATCATACAGCCTCTGTGGCACTTTTGAAGTTTGCGCATAAGGCAAACACCGTTGAGGAGCAGAGAACGGGAAGAGAGTGTTTAAGGACGAATCCTTCATTTTCTCGCAGAGGAGCCTGGGAGGCTAGGTTTCTAGTGGTGGAGGGGGACCTCCACCCTTGTGAGCTGTAGGTGAGTCCCAATCACATTCTCATGACATTGCTCCTTACTTTACCCTCCTATATGGTGCTGTTTCTGAGGTTGTCTCTTACAAGCACATAGCTGGTTGCTGTGTGGCCGGCAGCTTTAACTATAGAGGCAAACATTCCTATTTGGCTTTATTTCTCCCCGCTGCGGTATCCAATCTCAATACCCTCCTCCAATAGCCGATGGGCATTTGGGGACTTTACCCCCAGTGCCTGGATTCAAAATGTTTTCTATAAGCCTGAATTTTTGGCTATATTAATTGGATTATAAAGTTTTGCCTTGGCAGTTTTCAATGTATAGAAAATAACCATGTAGCCACTGTGGCTCTTGTCGCGCGCGGATGACACGGCGCAACACGGACCGAGACAAGAATGGTCAGGACCCTTCTGGTGGATGCAATCTGCGAAGTTTATTGACGCTGCTTCTGAGCCCGAAGTCAGCTGCGGAAGACCCCAAGCTCCTAAAACCCCGGGTATAAATACCCTGCTCGGTGACGTGTCCTACCAGGATTGGTGCAACGCGATAATGCGCAGTGAGCGGCTGGCAGCGCATGCGCAACAAGCTTGTTTACAGCTCAGCTCCTGGCAGCGCATGCGCAACAAGCTTGTTTACATCTCAGCTCCGACAATGCGGGCGCGGTCCGGCGCCATCTTGTAATGGCGTCCACAGCTCTTTTGAATTTTATATATAAAACAAAAGGGGGACTTGCGGGGGGAAGTCAGATACTTGCTGCCAGACTGCTGTCTCATCCCACCACAGGGGTGGGCCTGCTCCCTGCTGCTGGAGACAATGGACTACTCTCTGAAGCCTGGGACCATTAGCTTGGTTCCTGTAGGAGGGGTTTGCACTCTACTGATCAGGGTTCCTATGGAGACCCAGAAACCACCCCCTAGACCACCCTCTCATTGCTGTGTAGCCTATAGTGCAACCCCTCCCTGTGACGTATGTCTCTACCTGTAATTAATGGGCTGGCATGCTCCCAAAAGGTATATAGGCATGGGTCAGCAATATAGAGCGGTTGGACTTCTCTCTCTGACCCTGAGCTCCTTGATGCTCACTCCCTGGTCACTCCCCTCTCCCTTGTTCCCTTCCCCTCCTTCCCTTCCCCCTCTCTCCACGTGGACCAAGCTGGGCTGAGGTGAGCAATGGTACTATGTAACATGCCTGACTGTATTATTGTATTATCTCTCATGCTCTCAATGACTTTAATATAATGCTTATATATTTTTTTTAAAAATGCGTTGCTGCAATTCAATAAACGGTGAAACATTTTCTTTGGTTTCTGTAGCTGACTTTTCAGTTTGATAAAAACAACAATTTTGAGCAGATCTCTTTTTAGACCCAAAAGATGTTTCTTTCTAGACAGTCTTGTCAAAAAGCATTTGGCAAAGCTCTCAAAGGCCCAGCTACCAAGTGAATTGAAAGATAATGGTATGTCAGTTCTTTTTCAGCACTTTTTTGTAGGAATCCACGCAGCAGTCAGCGCTCTGCTTCTACTGGACACCAGCTCACCTTTGCGAGGCAGAAGCACGCTGACATTCTCACGCGGTAGAAACACTGCTCTTGGTCTAAGATGTCCGTGAGTGCGAGGCGCGAGGCGGGCGTGGGGAACTTCTCCAAGGCCAGGATGGACTCCTGCTGCGCAACGACGTCCCGCTCGTAGCGCAGCTGGTACTGCCACATGAAATCGGCCTGCTCAAACTCCACCTTCCTCAGGACCGACATGTCGGGGTCGATCCGGATCCACAGCAACGGGGAGTCAGCGCTGGAAGAAAAACAACCACACACACGTGCGTCATTCTATGCATAAGAACACAGAGACAAAGCGTCTGTTCCCCAGATGTCTCCTTTAGATCTGGGAGTCAATGTCTCCCCTTTTCATCGGGTTGACAATGCATCAACCTGCTTCGTGTGTTTCAACTTCTCACAACGTCTAATCTCTATAGAGCCTGCTGGAAAGATCTGCAAGGATAAAGGGATAGCTAGCAGTAATAATAAAAATTAGCAGGTTTTGATTTGTGCTTTTGTGATATAAAAACTTTGAGGGAAATTCTTCATTTAACTCCAACAGATAATAACTGACGGTGGCTATAATTTACTGGATAGCAACCATTACCAAGAAAAGAAAGCATTGGCTTGACTAAATATTAATGTTTTGCTGCCTTGTAATGCAAGGTTTTTTGGTTTTGTTTTTAATGCTAACCTTTTGTTGTTTTCAAAAACTAGGTCTGAACCAAGGACTCAAGTAGAAAGAAAATGTTTTGAAAATGATGGAAACATGTACAAATGTGCTTCATGCAGTGGATCGATGGATGGTGACAAGAGCTGTACGAGTCCCCAATAAAATGATTAAAAAAAAAAAAGACAAGGTTTAAAACCTAATTTGGGGACGTAGAAAAAATTGTATTCTAACATACCTCTCAAGGTAACAAGCCTAGTTTTAGTTATTTAATCATTTTATTGGGGGCTCTTACAGCTCTTCTAACATTCCATACATCAACTGTATCATACATATTTGTACATATGTTGCCATCATCATCTTCTAAGCATTTATTTTCTATTTGAGCCCTTGGTATCAGCTTCTCCCTCCCCACCTCCCACCCTCATGACCCCTTGATAAATTACAGAATATTACTGTTTTCATATCTTACATCGACTGCTGTTTCCCCTTCACCTATGTTTCTGTTGTTCATCCCCCTGGGGGTGGGGAGGTTATGCATCGATCACTGCAACCGGTTACTCCCTTCCTGCCCTCCTCCCCGTACCTTCCCCCTCCCCTCCTGGTAGCATTACTCCCATTTCTGTTCCTGAGGGGTTTATCTGACGTGGAGAGCCTAGTTTTAAAAACCTAATCTTTTGTCAACATTTTCCTCAAAAAACCACCACTGGGAATAATCATTCTACTCAATAAGCCCGTCTGAGTGCTTACTACAGCCAAGGCACTCACTAGAAACAGTTAAAATTAATACCCATCCTAAAGAAGACCGTCTGTGTAAACATTATTGGTAATCTGGCAACCAAAGCAAGTAACATTTCAAAGCGTTTCATTAAAAGCATATAGGCACAGAATGAAGGAGCAAAGAAAGAGCATTTGAGCTACCACAGGCTTTAAAAGAGAAAGACCATGAGAAAACATCAGCACGTAAAGCTGAGGAAAGGGATCTTTTAAACTGTCTTAACAGAGGGAGCCTCGAAGCGCACAAGTCCAAAGACAAGCTCCTCATTGGGGAGCTCATTAAAAATGAAAAGTGCCAAGCCCATCCCTACTAGTGAAGTACTGAGAGTCCAGGTGACACGATGGGTTAAGTGTTGGGTTGCTGATCTCAAGGTTGGTAGTTCAAGTCCATCAGTCACTCCACGGGAGAAAGATGAACCTGTCTCCTCTTGTACATATTTATAGTCTTAGAAACTCTATGTTCTCCTCTGTCCTACAGGGTTGCTATGAGTCAGAATCAAATCAAAAGCAGTGGGTCTCTGAGTCTAATGAAGTACTGGATCAGAAACAAGATTGTAAGGAGACCTGATGTGATCTGTATGTCCATTATCATTGGGAATCAGCCCTTGGGAAGCCACAGGGAAGCGGGAAGACACCCCCACCCCACCCCAGCACCCTCCCTGCCTCAAAATTCCACCTTGGCAGCCAGGTCTGGTTTACTTTTATCTGACTAACTACAATTTTGTGTGTTACTTTTAATAGTTTCTAGTCCCTCTAAAAAGTCATAAAACCACTGATTTTGAGGTCACCCATTTTTATATTGGTTTAACAAGAACGTATACAATATTGTATCTTCGAATGTACATAACTTACTCCATTGCAGAAAGGTCCATGTCAACTTCTTCTCCATTCATCAGTGGAATTTTTTTCTTCTTATTTCTACATTTGAGAAAAAGCAGTTTGAAAATTGTGAGTTTCCAAGGAAATAAAGAACGGCTAAGGATCAAGTTAGGCATTTGGGCAACATAACATCTTAAGGGGCGATACCAAATGCAATGGACTTTAAAAACAAGAGGCTTTAAATACAGCAAAAACCAATATCCATTTGGAAGCTGGAGGGAATGATGAGCAATACTGAAATTCCTTCATGATCACAGTTTACTAAAAAGCAGACAAATAATGAAATGTTAACTTAAACCTGTACATTACCCAAAGCATGTCATGACAGTTTCAGATAGAAAAATTAAGGTGGATCATCAATAGATATTTTATAACAAAAAACAAAAAAAATAGGCCTGTTATGAAACATAAATAATTCAGAACCATATGCTTTATGGACTAGCTACTATAAGGTAAAGTAAATGATAATAATAATCTTAAGAGAATTAATATGTACAGAACTTAAAACAATAGCTCCCATGTAAATTACTCCTGTCCTAAAAACAGCAGGACGACATACCAAAAACCTGTGAGAAAGTGAAAATAAACAAAAGCACATAACAGAACCATCCCGTGCCCCTCACACCAAGGACTACTCAAGGGACAGCGTTATTCCTGTAGAGAAAAAGATGCGAGGAAATGGTAGGAGAAAAGGTAGCAGGTAGATGTTACCAATTTACAAGGTGTATAAGACAATAAGAAAGAGGGATTTCCTTCTGATTTAAGAAGGAATTTCTTCAGGGGAAGGGAGGAATGATTACATTAAGATTTCAAAATAAACTTCTCTGGGGTCTTCATATGAAATCGACATCATTTGTATTAGACAACCTACAAAGGATCTTGCCAAGAAGAGTTCTGATCCTCCAATTTTAATACTGCTAAGGAGCCTTCCTGAATTGTGGTGCTTGTGAGAAACATTCACGGATGATGGACTTCAAGAAGATGAGCAATCTGTCTCGGAAGGACTACAAGTCAGAACGCTCCTTCGAAACAAGGACGGCAAGACTGTCTGACATACATGTCTAGACATGCCATCAGGAGAACCGAGTCGTGGAGAAGAACGTCACGCGTGGCAAAGTGGAGGGCCAGTGAGAAAGAGGAGGCCCTCAGTGAGCGGACGGACATGGAAGCTGCACGGACGGCTCACACACAGCAAGTGCGGTGCGGCGCAGGCCCGGGCGGTGTCGCAGTCTGTTGTGCGTGTGAGGGCTAAGTGGGAGCCAACTGGACGGCACCTTCATGACAACCCCAGCAATCCTCCCCAGGAAAGCCCAGAGAGGACCTCTATTTCACTATTCAGAGAAGACGCAAAGGCCTGAATTAAAAACCAGTGGTACCACGTTAAATATTAAGTGAAATCCAACCTTTAAAAATATTAAATCAGCAGGCCTGTCTGGATAGGACAGGCGGGATGAACAATCTGGAGGAGAAAACAACGGGACTGACAGTTCCGGGGGGACATGGGAGAGGGGGAG